TAAAACATAACCAATGCTCTATTTGAAGATCTAGCTACCAGGCATGTTGCCACATCGTTGCATATTCATCAGTAAAAATCTTTCCATATTCACATGGCAAACCATTTGAACTGTCATAAGGAAGAAATAATCACCTTTCCTTTAAAATGTAACAAAGGCCACCAGAGCTGTGTTCTTTGTATAACAGTAAACATTGTCACTAGTAATCAATTTATTTTACTGGTAAGGATAGTATTCTCATGACAAGTCAAAGACCTTTGGAAATAGTACATCTGTGCCTGTTATTTAAGCATACACAGAAACAAAGAGGCAGAATATATTAGAAACAAAAAATATGTCATCTTGTATAATGGTCTCATTGTTTGCTCCACTAGAGAGGGATTGTGCCATAACATATGACGCTGAATGTGCCTTTCTTGTTCGCCAGCTTTCATAATAAAGTATGTGATGCACATTTAATTGCATAGAGAAGATACGGATGTTAGCCGCAGTCGCCCACCCTTTCAATGCTGCCCATGCTGGGTTAGAAATGTATTTTTATGAATGTTAAGAAACCTAAACAGCAATCAATAGAATGTAGGTCTAATACCCCAGTTTTAATGGTAGTCACTTTGATTCAAAGCCGGATCAATACCAAGTCGCCTCTGACTGAGACTGAAACTAAAGTATTGTAATGCTGAGTAAATGACACCTGCGTTATGCCTTCCACGGTAGGGGTTTTAATTTTCTTTTCTATATGGTAAAATGGGCTAAGAAAAGGAATGAGGGATGAGTACATGTTGTCTTATGTGACTTAAGGTGCATCGCTTTTTATGACGCCACAAATGTAAATAGACTTATACATCAAGAAATCATTTAATAATAGGAAGCATCACCCACTATGTACATGCAGGGGCTGGGGGTGTGGGTCTCTCGCACACATTCAGATAGCTGATAAGTATCATTCTTCCCTCACTAAAATTACAATACTCCAGTGATTTTCACAACGAAAATCAATGGTCTGTCTTGAAGCACATAGACAGGCCCTGTGTCGTAAGCAGCACATTAGTCCTAAATTATGCAGCAGGGACCCAGGAATTAGACGGTGCTAACGTTGCCGGACCCATTCAATCACTGCTTTTCTACTCACAGGATGCCTGATGAGGGACAAGAAAAAACTGCCAACAAAATAAGAAATGCTACTTTTAGGGAATGAATAATTAGAGGCACGGTTGTCACTTGTCCTGCACGGTCATGCAGAGGAGTAATGAAGCATACAGCCACCCTCCTACTCAACTCTCCAGCATGGTTTACCCAGCTTGCCATTCTCTGCATATGGGCTGGAGACAGCAAACTCAGAAAACCACTATTCTTCTCTATCCTTGTGCATGCAGGCAAGGAACAAGGTGTGGGTAGAACCAGGGCTTGCTCCTCCCTTTTCAACATGCCAGTCAGTGGGAAAAAATAATCTCTCCCCGATAAAGGAGTAGCAGAGATTACTTCCCCTGGGGCAAGGCAGAGGCATGAGTCCTTCCCTGGGATGATTCTGGGATAACATCCTTTACACAGAGCAACACCAAGTTTCAGTCTAACCTATATACCATGGCATACCCATGCCTATTGAACCCCATGCACTACAGTAGATACATTTTTTATGAGTCATAATGAATTTCACCCACAGAAAGCAACACACTGTGAATTAAACCCACTCTTCTCAAAATCTGGATCTAAATACTTATGCATCAGGATTAAAGGGTTTATTTCTGCTTATTTGAACTCTGAATTATTTTCTTTTTGAATGCAGAAGGGGGTGATTCACCTACCTTTTTAACCTTTACATTCCTTGAGCAAGTGTCTCAAAGGCACATAGTGTGTGAATGGCCTACGCAATGCATGCTATTCTCATAATGCTCCTAACTTTCACATTTGTCTGCACTTCAAATCTGAGCAAGCCAGTTACTGAGAAAGGCCATAATGCTTTAAAAAAAATCAACTTTACAGCAACATTAATTACGTCCGACAGTCTGAAACTTGTCTGCTGCAGTGTGCAGCCATGGTGCTGAAGCAAGAAGATGCAGCATCAGAGGAGCCATTAGGAAGTCCTGTTAAAAGTGTCTGATCTCAGGCTTTCACATCCAAGTGGCCATTAATATCTGACATGAGGATTGCACTGGTTAGCATAATGGAGGGTAGGGTGATGTAGCTCCTGGAGATTCATTCCCCTTCCTCCAGCAATTGTACGTTGTAAGAAATTCCTGCATCTCAAAACTGCTCTATCTAAACAGAGATGAAATCTGAATATTCAAACCTTCCACCCCCCCACTGAGCCCAGCTGAGCATGCTTCGGCTTGACTTCAAAGGAAAGAGACATGAGAAAGGAAGCCTGGCTTATTCGTGCCGTGTTGACTCAGCACTGTTTCCTTGCTAAGCCCCATGATGTCAGTTGTACAGGACAATACCATACGGTACAGATCCACAGCATTAGGTGAGCACATGCAAGATTGTGATATTCTCATGCAGATTCAGATGTATTTAGGTATTTCTTCACTATGGACTAGCATTCTGAGATGCCACATTATGCCAGACAATCTAAATGTTACCATACTGCAATTTACTGTGAAAAACAGTCTAACTTATCCTATGCACAGATCCATAGGAGTAAGTGGGGCCACTCTCTTTCTTCCTCCCTCTCCAGAACAGGTGGGTGTGGATTGGGCAGAGACTGACCAGGACAGCTAATCCAGGGTCATAATTGGCTGCTGATCAACGCCAGAAGTAAAGCACTGCCTTCCTCGGACAAGAGACTATTGATGGTGGTGTCTTCAAGTAATAGCATTTCCTGTGGCTAGTCTGGGATTGTGCAGTGCCTAAAATGGCAACCTAGCCCTCAGGTCCTAAATGAGACCCTAAAAAGCTGACCTGTTCTCTGTACTGCATGGACATGAAGGAGCCCCTGGTGCTTTAAGAGTGCAGATTAGCCCTGTGAGGCCGGCCACCAGGACTTCTCCTCAACACTGCTGTCCAGAGAGCTGCACACAGGTTCTCAATTTAGCTCAAGGGTGGTGACTACACTTCGGCAGGTGCTGTATTCCAGGGCATTGTTTGCAAAGCATTTAGGATCCTTCAGGGCAAAAGGTGTTACTGTATAGCAATCCTAACGCTGGTTTGTACCGTGGAATTTTCTGATCAGGCTGATTGGAATAGCCGAAGATATGAGTAAAGATTGATTTTAATTTTTTCTTGTGAAACCACCTCTTGAAATGTTCTTTGTTTGCCGAATGGATTTACTTGTTGCTGCTTTCAGTGCTAATTGAAACACAAAAACTGCACTCTGGCTCTCTTGTTCATAATTGCTGCTCCCTCTCTAAGCTCTCAGGCTGAGCTCTGTTGTGTCATTTTAGCCATCACTTTCTAATTATTTCTATTGCAAGGCCCATTCCAGAAGATAAAATGATAAGCGAACTTGTGAGAGCTATGCCTCAAGTAGCTCAATATGCCCTTGTCAGGCTGTAATAGCATCATTGCCTCTCGCTGAATGTAGTGGCTCTCAAAAGTCTAGATGGTTGCAGAGGAAAAAATATACAAACAGGGGATGGTAACACAGTGATAGGTCCAATTTTTCACTGTCAAGAAGAGCAATTTTATTAAGCAGACATGTTAAAAGTGAAAGATTTGCAAGAATGTGCAGTGTGTTGAGTCACAGTTTGGAAAACTATCTTTATATTGAAAGCAGGCTCAGAAGTCTATCCTCCTGGGTATCTTTAAAGAATACAGATCTGTGATTAATCTCACTGGCCATTGCATGTCATATAAATGTTGTCAAAAACCCAGCATGTATCTGGCAGTAAAAATACCTGGCTGTTATTAAAAAAGGGGAGATGATGATGCTAGTTTCGTATGGTTCAGCACACTGCTGATTTCATGCATCACCCTTTTATTTAATGCTCGCTGCTTTAAGGCCCTGATCCTGCAAACTTGTACACATGCAAGTAAAATTATCCAATGGGACTACTCAATGCCAGTAAAGTTACTTATGTATTCACTGTTTGCATGATTGTGGCCTGAGGTAAGTGATATAGTTATCACATGACTATGCCCGTTTCCGAAGTAGTATAAAGTATATTTTAATAGTATAAAATATGGAAAACAACAAGGTAGACTTACTCTTGCCTCAGCAGGAGACAACCTCTTGAGGTCCCATTCCAGCCTGATAGTCTCTTTATTGCTATATTAATAAAGCATCATATTCAGAAGAGATTGTTAAAGTAGAGATTCAAATAAAGATACCGTACCAAATGTAAAGATCCCACACAACAGATGATCTGCACAAAATGTGTATGCAAATATTGCCTTTATGCTAGCAAATAGCGATTTGCACATACAGATAAAGGGCTGTGCTAATGCGGTGAGTGTGCCCCCATTTCGAATGTATCATCCAATGCCCAGGCCTTTGTAATGATGGTCTATTCT